AATGCAGAGCAGGATATGGTTGGCTTTCTGGGCACACATTGCTGGCTCATAGTCAATTTTTTATCCACTAGTACCCCGAAGTCCTTCTCTGCAGGGCTGCTCTCAATCCACTCATTGCGCAGCCTGTATTTCTGCTTGGGATTGCCCCAACCCAGGTGCAGGACTTTGCACTTGGCCTTGTTGAACCATGAGGTTTGCATGGGCCCACCTCTAAAGCCTGTCCAAGTCCCTCTGGATGCCATCCCTTCCCTCCAGCATGTCAACCCCACCACACAGCTTGGTGTCATTGGCAAACTCACTGAGTGTGCACTCACTGTCCACGTTGCCAACAAAGATGTTAAAACAGCACCAGTTCCAACACCAATGCCTGAGGAACACTGCTCGTCACTGCTCTCCACTCCACTTGGACATCAAGCCACTGACCGCAACTCTTTTGAGTGAGACCATCCAGCCAATTCCTTATCCACTGAGTGGTCCATCCATCAAATCCATGTCTCTCCAACTTAAAGACAGGGATGTCATGCAGGACATCATCACATACTTTGCAATGTCTATGACATCTCATTTTATATGCACAAAACATCATTACAATTGATGCCCCAATGAAGACTTTTTCTATAGAAGTTGCATGCTTCTATAACTGCAATGTTACAAAGGCAGACATAAAACCATTTTCTTGTAACAAAAAAGATTGAGGCGGGGGGTGAGAGAGCAAGAATATGATTATGGTCTTATGTGGCTTGTTCAGCCAAAAACTGGACATGCTTTGTTTTGTTGTGGGTTTTTTTTAACCAAAAAAGTTACTTTTTTAGACAATTTATGTCCCTAAAATTTTAAACCATCATTTTTAGTCAGTCCTAGCCATCTAGCAGGGACAAGTTTTAACTTGTTCTGGCTGGTCTTGAGATGTTCATACACTGTGGACTTGAGATGGTCTGTCAGCCCTGCTATAGCTGAAGATGGAAGACATCATCATCATCATCATCATCATAGATAAAGCAGTGATGACAGCATCAACTGGAGATCTGTTCATGGGACAGCTGGTGGTGTTAGTACAATTCATCCTGGTTGTGTTTCAAGTATTTTTGAAAGCTATTTTGAAGTTTGGTATATGTGTCCCTATTTGCTCAGATCGGGGTATTTTCCTTCTAGTTGTACAACACATACATTCCTTGACATGTATTTCTTCTAGAAAACATCTCATTCAAACTTGGGACCTATAATCCAGCTTAAATTTGACTGATCAAACATGAAGCTCACTGATCACTGAAGAATGAGGAAAAGACAACCAGCTTCTGAAAGTACTTCTAGGATTTCCTAGACTAGAACTTTCTACTTCAGCACTGAAGACCAACTTTCTTATATTTGAGGAGGTGTATTTATGTGAATTTTCTACTCTGCATACTGACTAAAACAAGTGCTAGAATTGCAAGCACATTTTATCTGTATGAACTAATTCAGAACTAAAGATTAGAAATATTATTGTTGTTCTTCATCTTGAAAACAATTTACTCCATTAGAATATAATCTATCTTAATAGTTCTTACACATTTTTTCACCAAGATATGACTGCTGGACTCCTCTGAATTTCAACAGATTACATCTTTTGTAAGTCAAAACAATTCTGACTTTCCAGAAATTAGTTTAGCCACCAGCCTCTTCTTCTTGCTCCTTCTGTGCAGCCCTCAACAGCTGTCCATCATTAGTAAATTCTTTTCTTACTCCCAAGTTTTATGGGCAGCTCTGTATTAAGCCTAGTCCACTATCCTCATGTTTTGACATTTTTCCCCCCTTCTATTTTATTTTTTCTTTTTCACCTTGTTATTTAGTTTCTAGATCTCAGCTAACACTATAGGACTGCAATAATGAATGGCACAATGCCTTTCTTTTAAAGATATACCCCTTCCAGCGGAACCTGAAATTCCTTATCAGTTCAACCAAGCACCCTGTACAGCATGCATGGGGAAAGCCAGGCATTTTAGAAAGTATCCAAATTAAAAAATCATAGAACAGAAAGCCCCTAACTCAACTGGTAGGGAAATAGAAAATGGGTCTGAATCTTAAATCTTACAACTTGTCTGAGCATATTTGAGCCTGCAAAAAGTTTCTTTCTTCACTAAGAAGTCAAATTCCACTTGACAGTGCAGGAGATACACACTCAATCCTCACTCCTACCATGAGAAATCACTAGTTGCGATTTTCTGCTTACCAGAAATCATAAGCAATTCTTCACTGTGAAATATATAATGGTAGGAAAGTAATCATTCTGTAAGCCAAGCACTATAAGTCAAATTTCTAGAGACACTATTCTGAAAGCTAAAGGGCCCACTCTAAATTTATTCACGGAAGTATTAAGAGTAATACAAGGCTGTTTTCAGAACCGTGCATAGGGAGAAACAACTACAAAACTGTTAATCTAACACCATTCTTTATGCCCTCAAGAAACAAACACAGAGTTAATCACAGTGCACAGTCATCTTCAATAAAACAGCTGGTAATGAGTCTCAACTGCACACAGCTTATCTGCACCAAAACTGGGTTATGCACATATAAAAACTACAAGTGGTACGGAACAGAAGCCAAAATAATATTTTTTAAAGTACTTATAAATATTTAATAAAAAGTGTAACTGGCCATAATAATCACACTCACATTCTCAGTCTCTTTAAGTCTTCAAAACTAAGTGGTTTTCTGGATAATATTCTTCAACTAAATGGAAATTACTTGAAACAATACAAGGTTAAATAAGTCAAGTTTAAAATGTTATAATATACAGTAAGTCAGAACGAATGATCTAATAACTCTCCTCACTCTATAATTTAATAAACCACTAGAAACTAGTAAGTTGAACCATACTTCCATCAGGGAATCTTACAAAACCAATTTTGGAGAAACTGTGGATAATCTATATAACTATATACTATATAATTAATAAGAACATGATCTTTTAAAGTGCAGATGCTCTCATTCTAATTTAATTCAGTGCTTTTTTGTTGTATGTCATATATTCAGTACAGACATGTCCCTTAAATGTTTCTAGTTTTCATCTGACGATGAAATCAGTGCCCTATTTCCCATGTTATGTCTGAATAAAAAAAAGCAATCATCATGGTAGCGTCAAAGAGAAAAGTTTACAAGGCTCCCTGAAACAATTATTTTACTCACATATGCAAGTACCTTCTAGTAGGTACTCGGAAGCAGGAAGCAGAGAGGAAATAACAACTTCCTTGATTTAGTCATAATTCAGTCACAGTGTGGTTGAATGGGAGGTGACTCTTTGATAGCACAAAACATTGTAAACCTTAAAGATTTTTTGCCCATATACACCTTCCAGCTTTGATTGAAGGCATATACATGGTATGTTCATTTTTAACATCAAGCTTGCAACGTAACTGTCTTTAATCATTGTATATTGATTAAAGGTAAAGGAACACTATTTCTACTTTCTTGTCAAAGCAGCATTTGACATGTCATGCCAGCTACAGGATGAGGTGAAAGACTCAAAGAGCTGAGATTTCAGAATTTTAAAAGATCTTACGTATAAAAAGGCAAAAATATAGAATGTAGAAAACACAGATGGTTAAAAAATTTCCTGTGATTACGAGATATATGCTATCGCCATATTTTCTCAATTTCTAATCAAAGTCCAAGCTCTTCAAATCGTGTCATCATGTCAGCTTTGCATGATAAAATAGTTGCATGTATTTAAATGATTTTCATGCATCTGTGGAATAACCTGCATAAAATATGCAGTTGTATCACATATGGATTAGAAAGAAGATGTGCATTGGAAGATAGTTTACTTGTTAAGTATGTGACAAATTCACAGTAAGGTCACCTGTTACTGTTAAGATGTTATTAACAAGAATTTCAGAACTAGTTTGATTTGGAAGAGCTCTTTCCTCAACACTGGAAATGTATTTTCCTTTACCCTTTTTCAACTCATGTAAGTGAAGGAAAAGAAGGAAGGAAATGAAGATGAGGAGAATTACATGTGTTTTAAGTAAATTTTTTTTCAGAACTTATACAATTGCTTTTTGGATTCCGAAACTATTCTACTTCAGTGAAACTAGAACATTTTTTTCATAGGTAATATAAATGAGACCATACTTGCCCAGTGATTATCTTGCATAATAGGTAGGCTAGAAATAACTGTTTACTTCCAACTCCTTTTTTTGATCAGCATATTGATAGTTTCCATTTCAGGCTGCATTGGAACTTTTAGCAGTTGCATCAGCTAATGACTGGAAAAACATGTCATCCATAACTCAGTGTTGGTCAACCCATGTAAACAAAGGAAACCCTTGACTCCTTTTAGTCATCACAATGTATTAACAATGCTGTCTTTTTGAAGGAAGACCTGAAATATTTCCAGACCAAACTCTAGCTAGATTTCATCAGTCTCATCATGCTTTTTAAAATGATATGCTGATGCTTAAAATGTAACAAGTGATGCTATGACTATTCTATGACTGCTTTATATACTTCATGCTTGAGTGAAAGGTGATTAAAAGTGTATGAATATTGAAAAAAGATTCAATGTTTTAATTATAAATTAGTTTGATGATATGTTTCAAGTATAAATAGTTTGAACTGTAATTAAGACAAAGTAAGAAGCAAAAAAAATTCCTTTTAACCAGTTTTGTTTCATAAAGAAAGGTAGACAAAAGAAAGACGGGGAAAAAAAGAAAATTTTCAAAGCCAACTATTTAAAAATATGAAAGAGTAGGAAGGTTGCAAGCCAAATCTCAAAAGCACAGATTTAACTAGAATCTGAAATCAAAGGGTAAACAATGAGTCTTCAGTTCTAAATTTAAAGCGTTGGTAATATATATTAAATAAAATGTACTGTCACTCATTAATACTATATACATAAACATGCAGCACCAGAATAGAGATGGTACAGCCATGCAGAAGCAAAAAAAAACCCCAAACCTGTTATTGAACTAATATTAAAAAGGTGACAAATTAAAACATATTCTTTTTTTAAACTCACTCACTTGTGACCAATCTCATGTGCAATGGTAAAAGCTGAACCTAGGCCAATGTCTTCATTAATGCTGCAGCTCCTTTCAGGCTCACACATTCCAGCCACAGAGGCCAAGCCTGAATAAACAGAAGGAGACACAAAGGGTCATGCCAAGGTGTTTCAGTCTTAAAAGCCCTAGTTATAAATGCCTGGATTCTTTTTAATAACTTCTATGCACAGAAGGAACAGTTGGCAAAAGGTTAACTTTCTAGTCATTCGCAAAATCACTGGGGGGAATTTCACTTTGCCGGCTAGACATTAATATTTTTTGAACTGCAGTCAGTGCTGGAAAATGTCTAGACTAGGGGTTAGATTTATAAATTTTACTTCTGGTAACTTGGGACCACCTAGTAACTTGAGCCAGGAGAGGGAATTCAAGAAAGCATTTCTATTTTAACATTCTTGAGCCTGAAGAAAGCAAAATGTATCCACATTATTTTTCTAAAGAAATCTGTTTAAGTTTAGTGGGTTCATAAAAACATACAAGCAACTTTTTTAGCTATGGAAAGCCCCACATCGTACATTAAAAAAATTATAAAAACAAAACTGAATGCATCAATGAAGAGAGAGGAGACATGTTAATAACAAGCATTCATTTAACCATGGAAACCTTTTCCATTTATCACCCATCATCTTCTGGAATTAAAACCTTACTTTATTACAAGTGCTTTTAAAAACTTTAGAGAGAGAAAGCCACTGGCATTTACAGAATATGTCTCTTACGTATCTTGCACATTCTTCAGCAACAGATTATCAAACAAGTACTGCAGTCATAATTTAGTGCCTCTAAAGGAATTTCTAAACATCAGATCTATTTAATGTATTGCTCCCTAGAACTCTTATCGGAAAGAAGCATTAATCCTTCCTTTAAGGATATTACCCGCTCAGTTAACTACACTGTAACTGAAAAACAACTGGAAAAAGTGTAACTTTGTTTGGGGATGGGGGAAATGGGGCAGGGATTGGAGGAATAGACAAATCATGCTCTTTATATGAGCAGGCCCTTCAATTATTCTGTTTGGAGTAACAGTAAGCAAGTAGTAAGGCAACAAGTGTTTCCTGGCTGTGCCCACGTTAGCCAGTAATTTGGAGCCGAAGGTGTGGATCAGAAGCATGGAGCAATGATATTGAGGCTCCTCACGTATCTTTGCATGTGGGTTGGATGCTCTATTTTGGACTAGTTTAATCCCATAGGCTGAACACACTCGCTACACCTGTGGTTTAAATCTTTCTAAAGTGAAAAAATATTACAGGTATCACAAGAATACAGCCCATGTAGTGATTTAGACCCTCACGTCTCCTGTAGGCACACACAGAGCATTTGGGGAGTATGTGTTCCGACTTAAATTTTCTCCAAAACAGATCTCGTTTGTACACACCAGAACTACTCTGATAATCAAACTGACAAGGGCAAAATGTGACACTGTGAGTCTATAGAATTTTCATCAAAACAGTACGACTGCTATACACAAATCATCAGTGTAGAAACACCTACTGAGAACTGGATGAAATATCAGAAGAACAAAACTATTAATGGAGAAAAATCTTTGTACTTTTCGCAGTGTGCAACCTGCAGAAAATACAATAATTACAGTTCACCTACACTATTCTGATTAGGACATTCAGAAGACAACATGGCAGTACTTATATACCAACTGTCATGTTCCCCTGCAAAGCCCAACACATTTGACTGTTAAAGTCATTTCGATCTTCAGATCTTATAACTGAGCGCTTGCTCCAGTGACTTACAAGTCCAGATCAACATAATTCCATACCACGCCTGCAGAAAGTGACAAGAGATCAAGTGAAGAACTCAGTCTAAGGTTCATATTTTAAAAAGGAGTTCTCCTTCACTGGAGCCACAGATGTGCTGCAAGACATCTGAGATCTATCATTTCTAAGAGGTTCCATGAAAGATTCCTTCTTTTAAGAAACTAGAATAGAAGAGACATTTCTGTGCCACACAAAATCCTATACTTTTGTTGCTTCCTAGAATACCAGATTCAGGTTTCTTTTGACCTTCTGAGACCTCTCCAAGAGGTTTTGTTCACGGACTCCTTAAATATATACTTTAATTACTGGACATCAGTACATCTTAAGCATACTAAATGCCTTGCAAAAGAGGGCCACAGGGCCTTGTCTCTTCTCCAATTCAGTTCCTATAATGCAAATAAATTGTCATGGTTGTGTTGCCAAGGGTCCTCTAACACAGTGTTGGAACTGATACCATATGGGTTGATTTTTTTTTTTTTAATCAAACCTTTTGCTTAATAAAAAATTTGCCAAAGTATCCTGTTATGCTGGACTCAAGTGAAGCAGAATTTGCCTTTATGCCAAAGTCTGATACAGTAACAACTAGTACATTAATGATCTGTGTTAAAAATATTATGTAAAAATATCAAATAGTTCATGTGTGAATGTACACTTTTTCAAAACTTCTTAACACTTGGGAAGACAATTCTATGACAGCAATATAGACAGTCTCTTCAGTTTTTGCCTCCACCAAGACATCAGTTACATTTAGAAATTCATCACCATCATTTGCCTTTTACTAAAACATGCTGTGGATATTTGTCTATATGTACAGCAGGCAAAATTCTGGTACCTTTCCTATGTAAAGTACATCCCTGTGCCAGAAGCATTGTGTTGACTTGAGCAGGACTTGTACAAAAATTAACATGAGTTAACACTATCAAAGCACATAATAATACAGTGAAAGACAAGCAACTACAATTATGAGCTCTGATTGAGAAAAGTATTAATAATCTTAACTAGCTGAATTACAATTTTAACTTTAATTACTTCTGAGAGATTTATGAAAAGATGCAAATTGAAAAAATATAAATAAATGTTTTATTAGTCTTTGAATAATATTTCTTTCATGTATTAAAGCAGTATAAAAGGTAAATTTTGGTGACAAATTTAGGTAGGGAGAGAACAACAGCTCTTCATCCTGCATCTAAGGTCATTATGTGTGCTTCTCCACTATCAAAGCATTGTTTTAATGTTACTGTAATTTCTATCACTGTGATATTTTTCTTTAAGTCTGTGAAAGGAACAATCTGAAGCTGCACTCCCTGTGTACAACACAGCAACAGTGTAAACCTCAAAGCCTGTTTCTTCTGTAAGATGGGGATTTTCTGTTGTTTGGTTTGGTTTAACTTTCCTGAGGTCTTTTATTTGTATTTTTAACTAGATCATGGAGACTGGTTCAATGGAAATAAACAGCAAGTTCTCTTCTACAAGAAGCTTGAGTCATCTGCTAGATTTTATCAGAACTACACCTGCCAGAGAAGAAATACACAGCAGCAGCTCACTTCATCTAAACTTCCAGCACTGCATCAAAGCCAAAACCCACCTAGGTTATTTTTTCTTGTTCATGTTTATAAAACTGCAAAATTTTGAAACCATAAACTTAAAAAGATCTAATCAGTCAATAAATCAATAGCTGAGTATAAAGCAAGGAAACCGCAAATAGAAGCTGAAATTTCTCTTTATAATCTTACCCAGTGTTCCACAAGGCTTGTTTTTGTAAGTGCAGATATCATATCTGTCGAGAAAAAAGTAGATGAAATATGTCAGAGAATCAAATTTGTAAGATACTTTTTATATTTATCACATATCTGTATCATAGTTCAAGCTGTCAGACCACAATCAGCTTAATTATGTGCAGCCAGCTGGTGTCGGCATTTTCTACACTCTGGTGTAAACCACAAGCTGCAGTACCCTCACAGCCGCTGGCCTCAGGCCAGTGGGACACCTGCCAGTAAGAAAAAAATGGTTAAAGTGGATATCTGTAAACACTGCTCCATAAAGCAGTCTTCCATGCTGTTACAAAGTTACAGGAGCCTATCTATAGACTGCTACCGATTCAAAACACTTAACTTTTAACTTTTTGAACGTAATTGGAATCCTCTTACAGTCTTACACTTACTCACTAAATCATACTAATTGTAGCTCCTACTATTTAAACTTTGATTCTAATTAAAAATTGTAACTCTCAATTATTACACCAACAATTTATAAAAAGAAAAAAATCTTACAAACTGCCATTATAGTTCCTTTCTTATTATTTTCCAATTATTATATGTCTTAAGAGTATACTAGAACAAACTAAAATGAAAAACATTTTTGTGAAAAATCTAAATAATGCCTTTAAAGGAAAATTTTTTATCATTTTACATACAATCCTTCAAATACAGAAGCTCAATGAGTTTTTGTGTAGCTAACATGTATCTGGAGCTGAAAATGAATGAAAATGTTTTCTGCAGCATAGCTAATAACAGCAGCAGTGGTCATGCAGCAGCCAATTCATTAATTACACTTTCATATTTTGAATGTGAAATCCTGTGATATGGCTAGTGATATGAGAACACTCCTACAAGGACTTACACTGATTTCCTTGCAGTATGTTTCAGAATTATTTCTATTCTTTTGAATGGTGAGGGAAAACAAATATGAAAAGATGCCATCTTTACACTTTAATTTTTAATCCAAATAGTTACTAATTTCAGGCCACCACAGATTTCTGTTAAAAATAACATAAGGAATGTTATCAGGTAGGAATCTGATCATTGAGACATAAACCTTTCAGTGCTTAAAGAGCTGAGGTCTGTCTGTAAGCCAGGTTCATGGACTCAGTAACAAAGCTTCAAATTTAGAACAAATCCAGCAAACTCTCTATGCATATAAACTGCTGTGACATGGAATTCCTGTGATTTTTTTTAAGGTACTGAGCGTGGAGCAGTTTGTTGGATTAAATTCTAATTTTGAACCCAAATCTCATCAAGGTGGTTCAAACTCTCCCATCCCAGATGCATGTAAAGCTCTCACTGATTTCCCATTTGCTGTTTGGAGAGAGGGAGGTAGTTAAATCAGCATTCTCATATAAAATGTAGTGGAATATAGTAAGGATTTGTATGTCACAAAGCTCTGAGATGACAAAAATACGCAAAGAAAAATTGTTACTATTTCCTGCCTTTTAGATATTTAAGGAAGCAAACTTCTTACTTCTGCATTTACAACAGATCCTGAACCAAATCCTGTTGAAATTCATGCAAAATTATTTCTCATAGAAAGCAGACAGGGCTCAGGCTTCCTTAGTGAGAAAACCCAAACTTGCTTGAATCCCTTAAAATGTAATCTAGAACTGAATACAATTAAGTCTGTGCAATACACAGGAAGTACTGGTCTTCTAATGTCTTTTAATATCCTATGCTAGTAGGAAAAAATCAATTAAAGGCATACATCCTTAGATACAATGGATGTTTAAGAAGAAAGCCAGTTCCACTGAGCTCAAGTAAAATAGTGTTGCTGATTTCAGCAGAGCTGAAAATCTGCCCTTACGACCTGAACCTGCTTACTGTCATACAGATATGAAATTAAAATTACCTTCAGTTCAGTTACACAAGGAACTGTGATAGGGGAGAATGGTATCAATTAAGTTCCTTGTTCCTGTTACATTTTTGAAAAACAAAGACCAAGGTATTCTTCTGTTTATGTTGGGTAGCAACATTATGCTTCATTATGCACAGGCTAGCATTTGTAAGAAAACATGATGACAATGAAAAATAATGAAACTAAGGAAAATAACATTTTATTTTTTCAGTACTCTAATTATTTTTGCAAGAACATACCCAGGTAGTAATATATTCAAAATATGGCTGCACTAAATATTCAAATTTTATCAGCAATTATTTCCTGTAAGGAGCATTCAGACACTCTTATGTCTGAACAGAAAACACCTCCAAGTTTTCAACGTCCAATGAATTCCTTTACCTATATTATCTTAAAGATTCGTTTATTTCACTTTTTTCCTTTCACATGGATGGTTTCTGCTTGTAGTTTGTTTGAAAGCTCTTAGCATTTTTATGTACCAAGCTGCTTGCTTCTCTATATAATTTAACCAACTCAGCCTAACCTGTCTTTTTTGGTTTTGACACCACTTCCTTTAACTTTACTTTGAATTTCCAAGGAATCCATTTAACCCACATATGTTGGGTTCCAAAATGAATAAGTCTACAGAGTCAACACTTGCCAGATAGTAGCTTCAAGCCAAGAAAACTCTGAAATGACAAATCATCCAAATTACCCATGAAATTAGTTAGGTCTAATTGTTATTTTAAAGAAAAAAACAACCAAACAAACAATTCACACGAAGGAACACAAAGAAAAAAAACCCTCAAAAACACAAAGGTGAAGATGGGTCATAGCTGTCACCAGGTTAAATATTTCAGGAGCCAAAGAAAGCCATAAGATAAATTCTCAAGACAACAATTATCTCAACCAAACACTAAAAATAGTAACAATGGTCAATGAGAGTTATACAAACATGTAGTATGTGAGATGAGAACGTATTTCCTTTTTGATTCACTGACAGAATGTGTAAGATGGCCACCACACAAAATCTGAATGTAAGAATACAGATATGCAGGTTGTAAAAAACATCAGGATGAGATGGCAGCCTTATCATTTTTGAGACAGCCAAGGAAATCCTTTGCCCAAGTTGGAACAGAAGATCATATGCCTCCTAAAAAAGTGAGTGCATATGTCCCTGAAATGTGAGCAGGCTGGGGAAGTTGAATGTGGAAAGAGATATGAGGCAAAATTGTTGATTACATGTTCATTCCCACCCTGGAAGAATCAGAAGTCATTGGATGTAGCAGATGGGGAAGAGGTCTGGGACTTCTAGGCACACCTTCAGGGCTGCTGAACAGCCACCTAAGACAGGTGAGAAATGCATGATGGATGTACAGCTGTCACTGACAACTGACTGACACATTAGTGAGAAGGAAACTGCAGAGGCAGAGTATTATCAGTTCAACAGGATGGTCAAGAATTGGAGTGGCAATAGCCTCCTGACATGCCATGAATCAAACTGGAAATGTTAATGTGCCCTCCAAGTGCACTTAAAAAGGAAAAATTTCAAGTCTTATTTGGCAGGATATTGAGCATGCCCTATGCTAAAATATACATCTGTACTACTGAATTAAAAAGTGAAAGGGAAGGCACTCCTGGACACTGAAATTCTATTATCTGTATTATCAAACTGTTTTAAAAGGCCGTTGAACTGTTAAACAAAAAAAATTCCTTGCACAGATTTGGCTCATGACAACAACTAATCTCAAAGAATTTCCAGAAGTTCAATAGATGTCCACACACAATTATGAAGAGGCAATACATACAAAGCTACTCTGTTCTGGAGATTCAGCTTATTAGGGTGGGCACAAGAAGTTCTGTGCCAGGGGTCCTCACTGCAAGAAAAAACTCACTGACGTGTTTACATAATTTGTTAGTGTAGATGTAAGCTATGGACTGTCTCTTGAAGAAGCCTCAGCTATTTACAACTCTGATTTGCAGAAAAACCCCTTTCCTTTGCAAATCTGATGAGTATTATGATCCTGATCATTTGAGTAGGATTCTTAAGTGAAATATATAATAAAGATGAGTTCTCTATAAATACTGTGAGCACTGTTCAATCTTGTCAGGTACGTTCTTAGCAGCTACAGCAAATCCCAGACACCTTGGAGGAAGACAGATATTTCTTTCCTACAATATACAGCTAGATGGGAGAATGAGAGAGCATTCCTCCTGATCCCTGCAACCTGTCACCTGGCAGGCCTAATGCATGTAATTCTGCAATCATGAAGTTCACACAGAGTTCTATGTAAGCAAGTATATTCCTGTATTAAGTAAACAAAAAAGAGACACACACAAATTCACAGGTTTGAAGGCTAGAAATCATTGTGATGAATCAATCATGCCTCCATGCATCCCTAGCATAAAAAGGTAAGTAATTTATTCTAGAAGCTACACAGGATAAAAAGCTGTTCCTTATAAGCTCTTCAGTCCTGCATTAAGAATTGTTTTCAGCATAGTTTGAGAACACCTGTATTAGGTTATCAAGTTCATCTGCCTCTCCCTCCACCACAGTCATCTGTGAGTCTTTGCAGGGATAAAACAACAGCACAGCCTGATACCTTCCCTGATAGAAGCCCCCAGCTCTGTGGTTTAGGGAACTTCAAAGGTAGAGATTGTATTTTAGTATTTAATTAATTTTTCTTCTAATATCTTTAGCATTTAGCTAATTCCTTTTGAATTTAAAAAAAAAAATTAAAAAATCACTGTTCATCTGGGGGGATATTGTTATGCCTTTATCAGCAAAGTTGAGTCCCTTTCTCCCAGCAGAGATCTCTTTCATGTTGAAGTAATTTCTAAAAATTTTTTCTTAAACCAGATGAAAAAACTGAACTCTGTCAGCATTGCATCACCACATCACAGCCTTTCTGCCATGTTCCTTTAAGCTGTAGAGCTTTTTAAACTTTCTGAATCATGTTTATTACAATTCCAAAAGTTGTTCGAATAGTAGTATTAACAGTAGTAGATAGAAAGGCAAAATGAATTACTACTTATTACATGTTAATGTGTATTTATACATTCAATGATAACATTGCCCTTTTCACCAGTCTGACTATGTGAAATGGCTCACTAAAGGAAAAGAGTCTCTACAGAGCACTGTCATTACTAGCTGTATGTCCACTGTGCCAGAAA